CAGGAACTTGGAAGGGGCGGCTTAGGCGGGCACCTCAGTAGCTCTTTAGCAATCATTCCGTGCTAACAGGCCACTTCCCAGTCTCCAGGGTTCACATATTGTTCCCCTCCCTTCTTTTATCTTGAGAAGTCCCTTTTGTTATTGTCTTTGAAGCTGAGAAAACTGCAGCTCTGAGAGTTGCTGTCTCTTCCCCGCTCTCCGCTTTCCCTCCTCAGGAACAGCCTTCATCTGGCCGCAGCCCTCTAGCGAGGGGCAGGGAAGGGATGGGAGGGAACACCAGGTGGGGGAAAGAGCTAGTACAAAGGCCTGAGACTGGAGGACATGTTTTCAAGGAAGTCTGGGTCACAGATCTAGGGAGGTGGAAAGCTGAGAAAGTTGAAGCTGGAGCGTTCTGAGGGGTGAGATCCTACAGGGCCAGAAGATATGCTTTATCCAAGAAGCAATGGGGAACCACTGCGGAATTTGAGCAGGGGGTAATGTGATCAAGTCAGGATTTTGAAAGAAGACCCTGCAGCCAGAGGAGAGAAGTGCTCACAGCGAAGCAGCCTGGGAATGGAGAGACCAGATGGAAAACATAAGAGTAACCCAGGAGAGGGGGCAGGATCCTTCAGACATCCTGGATGCCCCCAAGTCCCCACTCCCTTTGCTCAGAGTGAATATACCAGGGTTTATTATGCAAACACTCAAATACAGCAGTCTCTCTTTGCTCAGGACTGTTCTAAGCGCTGTACAATTACTAACTCATCCTCACAATTTGTGAGGTAATTTGCATTTTCCCTTCCCATTTTACAGATGAAGAAACTGAATCAGAGAAGTTAATTCATTTGCTTGGGGTCACACAGCTGGAGCTAAATTCAAACCCATAGTCTGGTTCCAGAATTGGTTTTTCTATCTTCCAAGGGGAGAGGCGAGTTAAGTGAGAAGGGGAGGAAAGAAGAGGGAAGGAGAGAAAGTGTGAGGACCACCCTGCTTCAGAGTGGCAGGAAAGGGGAGATGGAGGGAGACAGCTGCCCTGGTCAGGAAGGAGCAGCCATCTGCAGTCCTGTAGCCCTTTAGTGTCCAGGGACTGATTCGGTCCTGGCAATGCTCAGGAGGGTGAAGTGCCAGCTGTTGCCCAGAGCTGAAAATGGAGGAGGAAAAATTAGGGATTAAGGGAGATTCCCAGGCTGATTCAAAGCTGACAGTCTCTATCCAAGGACATGTGTAGACTAGTGGGAGTTTTTGTGGGTTGGACTAAAGGGGAGTCTGAATCCCAATGTGACTTGGGCAGGAACAATATCTTTTTTCTTTCTCTCCTACATCCCTAGGCAGGAAGACTCATGAGTGCACAGTGCTTTGGGTAGAGGGAAGGTCTGACTCCAGACCGCCTTATGGCCCTGGGCCAGTTCTGCATGTGTCTGGATCTCTGCCCTCTCACAGGTCCTGGAGGGGGCCTGACAGAATTAGGTTCTCCCCTCTGCCTCACCCCCACCCCGAGGAGGGAGCCCCTCTACCTCCTGTGTCTCTCTACATCCCAGGATCAGCCCATTCAAACAGGCAGTCCAAGACACACGTTTATGTCTGAGATTCTGGAGCCAGGAAACCTAGGTTCACAACGTACTCTCCCCTTCCTGGCTCCATGACCTTAGGAAAGCCACTCAATTTCGCTTAGCTTAGAAAAAAAAAAGTAAAATGAAGGGATAGTGCCTTCCTCCTAAGGCTGTGGTGAGGATAAATAATATTAATTATTAGATGGGTGACGTCTCCCACAGGAAGCCCTCCTGGATCTCTCACCCAGCTGTACCCTGCTCTCTATCCCTCAGAGAAGACTCCCTGACACACCCTGTTACGAGCTTCCATCACACGGTAGTCTTCCTTCTCAACATCAGTACACTGGCAATTTATTTTAGTTATGTTTGGAACTGCCTCGGAGCTGCATGAGAGTTGAGACAATTCATCTTTTTTCTTTTTCAGAAAAGGTTTTTTTCACTCACAGAGGGGAAGAGGTTCAGTCCTTCTTGACCATCAGGGCATTACTCAGCTCCTTTCTCTTCTTCTTGGTGCAGAGATGTGTCTCCACCCCTTTCTGGCATGCCGCTCACACAGGGCAAAGCTGCACACCACTCCAGCCATGTCCTGCACAAAGTTGGGTGCTTGGTGAGGGGGTGCCTGCCGCAGTGGTGGCAGCGGCAGTGGCTGTGACTCGGCTTGCTCACATTCTTGTTCACCTTGAGGCCCTTGTTGAGGCCCATGACCATGGGATAGTGCAGATCCATGGCTGCTGCTTTCAATGGCTGCTGCACCAGAAGGATTCATCTATTTCAGTGATGGCGAACCTTTTGAGCTCAGCGTGTCAGCATTTTGAAAAACCCTAACTTAACTCTGGTGCCGTGTCACATATAGAAATTTTTTGATATTTGCAACCATAGTAAAACAAAGACATATTTTTGATATTTATTTTATATATTTAAATGCCATTTAACAAAGAAAAATCAACCAAAAAAATGAGTTCGAGTGTCACCTCTGACACGCGTGTCATAGGTTCGCCATCACTGATCTATTTTCTTCACCAACAATTCTCTGAGCACTGAGTGCTATGCCTGGCATGCAACAGATATTCTATAAAAATCGTTGATTGAATGAATGATGAATAAATGAATGATGATCAACCTTATGAAATAGGTTCCGCCCTAGCTGGTTTGGGCTCACTGGATAGAGCCTTGGCCTGCGGACTGAAGGGTCCTGGGTTCAATTCCAGTCAAGGGCACATTCCCGGGTTGAGGGCTAGATTCATAGTGTGGGGCATGCAGGAGGCAGCAGATCAATGATTTTCCCTCACATTGATGTTTCTATCTTTTTCTCCCTCTCTCTTCCTCTCTGAAATCAATAAAAAAAAATGTAAAAAAAGAAATGGGTTCCATTATTGTCCCCATTTCTTTAAGAAAATAATCTTTATTGTTGAAGTATTACATATGTCCCCCTCTTTTTTTTCTTAAATTTTTTTAAAATTGAATTTTAGAGGGGGGGGGGAGAGAGAGAGAGAAGAAGGGAGAGAGAGAGAGAGAGAGAGAGAGAGAGAGAGAGAGATCCACCAGTTGCCTCCTACACGTCCCCACTGGGGATTGGGCCCCACCCAGGCATGTGCCCTGACTAAGAATCAAACAGGACCTCTCAGTGCATGGGACGATGCCCAACCAACTGAGCCAGGTTCCTCCCTATCTTATAAGGTAACTGCTTCAGACAAGGGCAGAGACTTACAGAATTAACAATCCCTTCTGTGTGCCAGGAGCTGCACTAAGAACTTTACTGATATGACCACATGTTGTCCTCAAACCAGTCACTCTTTTGGGTGAGGCAACTGTGACTCGGGAAGGTGTTGTCACTCACCTGAGGCCATTAGTTAGGAGATAGCGGAGCAGGCGTTCAAGAACTCTAATCCAGGCAAGTGGGGACACAGAGGAAGGGTTTGATGGGGTGTGGGAGTGACCCCCTATCAGGGGACTCGGCCCTGAGCATTTGGACTGGTGTGTTCTCAGTGGCTGAGACCAGAGATCAGGGATTCCGATTAAGATCAATAAGGAAGCACAGGAGTGGGGTTCCAGTGGTGGGGTGGGGTGGTGGGGTGATAGGGGAAAGAACAGTTTGGGCAAAGGCTCTGCAATGGGGCTGAGGCCAGGCTCATTCAAGTGCTAAAAAGAGGCTGGGTTGGGCTGGTGTGGAGGGAGAAGGTGGACCATAGCTTGTCAAAACTGGACAGGCCCTTTGAGATCTCATCCAGCTCCCCAAGTTCCTCTCTCATTTTATAGATGGGGACACGGAGGCCCAGAGAGAAGTCTCATATCTACCAAGTGGCAGAAGCAAATTTGGTGCCTTTCCTTGGTCGCCAGGTGTAGGGTCTCTGGGCTTCATTGGGAATCATTCTTGGAAGCAGCCCTCGTCACACTTTCTCAATTAATTGAGAGCTCAGTCCATGCCCACTGCACCCTCAGCTTGGACCAGTTTCTAATGATATTCCTTTAGTTCCTGTGCAAACCATGCACAAGATAATCGACACAGCATTGTTTATAACAGCAAACATTGGTACTGACCCAAATAGCCCTCAGTAGGAGGCTGGCTAAATAAGTCATGGACTTCCTGACCATGGAATAGCATGTGGCAGTAAAGGAGGCGATGAAGCTCTCTGTCTCCTAATACAGAGGCCTCCCTGGGGGAAAGCAAGGGAGAGACTAGGAGACAAAGTGAAAGGGGGCAGCAGTAGAATTTGGGGAACCAGCTAGTATTGTAAGAAACATTAATCATGCTCTGTTAACGGTGATTGTTTTATTCTGATTAAAGAAGGCACATTCCACCCTGGCTGCTGCAGACCTGGAGATGCAGCCCTTCCTCCCCTTTTGGAGCTGCCTATGATCATGGAAAGATGAACAAAGATTTGTTACAGACACCAGAATCGCCAGCCCTTTTGCACACCTGCAGGCCTTTGCAGACCTCCAGCCCGCTAACCTGTTAACTGCCCATCTGGCACTCCCTTGGGCTATTTCCCCCATGTAACCCCAACCCTTGCATATCACTAAGCCCTTTGAAGACCCCCAGTTCTCTTGCATATCTGCAAACTGCCCTTTTGCCTACTTTTCCTTTGTACTTTTACTATATAAGCAACTGGCTTATGGTGGGGTGCAGAGCAGATTTCTGGGGCTGACCTGCTGCTCTCTCATGCTGCTGGCAGGACTGGAATAAATGCTCATATGTGATTCAACCCTGTCTCTGCTTCATTGGCTTGAGCAGTGACAGGCAGCACGGACCCATTGTTTGTCCGGTTACAAAAGCTGAGTGAAACGGGGGCATAATCTATATTTGCATAATATGTATTTGTACGTGCATACAGAAACTTTGCAAGTGTAAAAATAAGAAAATGAGATTACTGAAGGGAGTACTAGGCACAAGGGGAACAAGGATGGGAGGGAGACTATTATATGTCTATCTATACTTTTTTTGGAATCATGTGAATGAATTTACCTATTAGTAAAATAATATAATAATGGGGACAGCTGCTACTCAGCTACTGCTGAATGCTGTCATATGGGAATAGGCAGTCAGTATGGTCCAATTTTCTAATTATTCAAGAGAAGCCAGAAATCTGGACTGTATTGTAAAATCTCTTCGTTTTTAAAGATTGGCTTCATTTTTTCTCTCAAACACTTTCCAGGCCAAGTAAATAGGTCAGTGGGTCAGACGCGGCCTGAAGGCCACCAGTTTTCAGCCTCAGCGCCAATGGCTTCCTGCTCCCAGGGCTGGAGTTCTCAGTACCCCAGGTCTCTGCCCCCACAGTGGGCAGCTGCAGTCAGAAAAGTGCCTTGTCCAGCCCCTCTCCTGGCACCTTCCAACCCTCATCCCTTGGGCTGTGACACTTGGGGCTTTTAACTCAAGATCTGGAAGGCAGAGAGGGGTTATGAACTCTCAGATAATTTTCTCTCCTGGGGCCCTCAGGCAACGAGGTCCAGCTGCCCACCCATCTGTCCCTGGGACATGGGGACAGGAGTGGGGCTGGCAGGAGGGAAGGAGGCACCACTCTGAGCCTCAGATCATCAGGCTTTGTTGAGTCTCAGAATCTAAGAGAAGAAACCGAGAAATTGCAAGAAAAGAAAAACAGGGGCTTAGCCGCACCTCCCAGGTGTGTGCTGAGAGAATCCACCAAATTACAAAATGCCAGAGCTGGAAAGGCCCTGAGGGATCATCTTATCCAACCCCTTCGTTGCATCATACCGCCCCAGGCCATGGCCTTGTCACCTCTCTCCTGGACAACTGGGCTGCACCATCCCTTCTTTCCCTTCCTAATGTTCCATCTCCACCATTACCCGGAGGGGCCTTTTAAAAATATATATGTTTTTATCGATTTTAGAGAGAGGGAAAGGAAGAGAGAGGCAAAAAAAATCAATGTGAAAGAGAAATATCAACCGGGATTGAACCAGCAACCTGGGTATGTGCCCTAAGTGGGAATTGAACCGGCAACCTTTTAGTGCACAGGACAATACTCCAACCAACTGAGCCATACTGGCCAGGGCCAGAGGGGCCTTTTTGAAAGAGGAAATTTGACCAGGTCCCATGTCTTCTCAGAACCTTCTGGCAACTTCCTACCTCACTTTGAGCCAAAATCCTCAGTGCTGTCTACAGTAATCTCTCCCTCTCTTCTCTCTGACCTCACCTCCTTCCGCCTTCCCCTTGCTCATTCTGATCCAGCCACTGGTACTTTGCTATTCCTTTAACACTTCACC